CCTGGATCCATCTCTCTAGGATAAAGAAAGTCCCGATTCCAGAAGAGCAACCAGTCCTGGAGCCTCGCCTCACCTGCACTCCATTGGGGCCGACGAAAATCAGAATACACAAGACGCCCTAATTGGATCATCCACGATAAGTCTGACTCTGGGCCTCGCCCCTCACTCTTGCCCACTCACTCTTGCCACCTTCTCTCCTTCGCTTCTGGAATCCTCCCATCTGTTTTGTACCCTGAATTTGACCCAACGCCGCCTCTATAAGGCCAACTCCACATTTGCGCCTGACTGTTGGGTCTGCCTATCCCTGTCCTCCTCAGCCTACTCTGCCATACCCATACCTGAATATGAGGCCTCAAAGCTCCAGATTACTCTGCCCTATAAGGTACAGAAAGGAGCCACCTTCTTTGAAAGAGCGGACACCTTAATTGGTGGATACCCCACCTCTGCTGCCAACCGGGCGAATAAACTCTTCCAGTCCTATATTCAATGACTCACCCAATTTCAGGGCTCCACTTCGCCCGTCCATGGCCCGGTAACCATAAACACCCCCCTCCTAACCCAGGCTCCCTTATGCTTCTCGGCTCAAGGGGGCAACGTGTCCCTCGGAAGCCTAGCTTCCCAGCATTGCAACACCACCATAACCATCTCTCACCCCTGGGACCACCAAAATAACCGGGTGGATTATGCCATCTCCCCTGAAGCCAACGGGCTTTTCACAAACGAGGTCCATTTTTTGGGGGCTCCTCAGGTGTCTGCTACTAGCCATAATTGCTCATACCCCACAGACAATATACATCCCTGGTTAAGAAATAGCCTCCACCCTTCTCAGCATCCAAGATCAACTAGACTCCTTAGCAGCAGTCACCCTTCAAAATCGAAGGGGCCTAGATCTCCTCACTGCAGAAAGGGGAGGTATATGTGTTTTCCTAGAAGAGCAATGCTGCTTCTATCTTAACCAGTCAGGCCTCGTCCGAAATGCTGCCAATAACTTAAAAGAAAGAGCACAACACATTTGGGAAAGGCGAGATCAATCTTGGAGCACCTGGTTCGATTCCAACTGGGCACACTGGGTTTTGCCGCTTACGGGTCCCCTAACTCTCCTTTTTCTAGCCCTAGCCTTCGGACCCTGTCTCCTGCGACTACTCTCCTCCCTACTACAAAACCGACTGAAGGCCTTCACCAGCCAGACGGTGCACGAGATCATGATGCTAAGCCATTATCAACCTCTCACCAGATCCTCAGGCCCGGATCATGCCGACATGGGCCCCCTCCCCTAACGCCGCCCCTGTCCAGCTCGAAGTAGCCAGAAAGACATCTGCGCCCCTTTGTCATTATCACAGAGTCGGGAATGTCCGATGGCCTGGGGAACTGGCACCAGGCAAAGTGCTCGACCATTGTCTCCTTGCTCAGCCTTGTCTCCCACCCTGAATGGCCTGCCTCGAGGCTATAGATTAACTCCCATCTTATCTATTCATATTCCATAGGCTCCATGCATAGCCCCCGCAGGGCCAAACTCTCTTAAGAGACAAATTCCAGCTGCAACAGGCAGATATAAAAGACACAAGCCCCTACATTGAGTGCGGCTTCTAGGACTCGACCCCCGGAGTCTGTGAACCCGCCCGGAGTGCACCCAATAAAGCCTGATCCCTGTTTATTCGGCTGATTGGCTCTCCAGTCTCTTCTCTGTTTTATTCGGCGGCGCCCCCGATTCCTTACAGCAAGATTATCCTCACTTCAGAATGTTTGGGACAAATATCTGAACCTTACAGTTAAGATATGCATTAACCAAAACCCAACTAATTAAGTTCAGAACATGTGTTAAGAGGATATTTATAAGTAGGCAGAGAATAAGTCTCTCACTATGATTTCTAAGGGTTATTACCACACCTTTTTTTAAAAAAAATGTTTTTATTGATTTTTTTTTTAGAGAGAGAAACATAGATCGGCTCGCTCCTGCACACCCCCTACTGGGGATCAAGCCCACATCCTAGGCATGTGCCCTGACCAGGAACTGAACCAGGACCTCTCAGTCCATGAGTTGATGCTTAATCCACTGAGCCACACAGGCTGGGCTCATTCACACCTTTAATGTAAACTAGTGGGCAGCAAGAAGTACCATGCTTCAAATGACCATGAACCAGCTAGAGAAAAATGAAGGCTGTTTCTCATTCACACTCTATCCCCTTAACTTTCTCTTCCCCAAAGAGTAACAAGAACCCCCTGCCACCACTAATATCACTAGTAACACTAGCACCTGTAGCCATGGAATAGGGACCTGCCACCTGGGTGGGAGCTAAATGAGTCCTCCATGGAAAATGGCTTGTTTTCTGGCCCATGTTCTTAGTTATCATTTAAAATCAGAGTTATTCACTAAGTGATTCCCTGATCTGGAATACCTTGCGGTGACATGGAGACTTGTAAAGTGGGGGAATATTATAACAAGCTTCTGTTCTGGCTACCACAATGAAAGTTTTCTGTTCCCTCTGAATAACTCTAGAATGTATGTTTCGTGTAAGATTCAATTTAGATTTACATAGCTAAACCATTTGATTTTTATTCATTCATTTATTGCTATTAGCATTGTCAACTGGTAAGCCCCTTTTAAGAAAACAACAAGGCAATCCTTAACAAGAATCATGGAGATGAGAAAGACAGATTTATGTGCAAAGAATAAGCTAATGTACCAACTACCTTCTCCCAGCCTCTTCAAACTGCTAAACCTTGTAACCTGAGTAGGCACCTCTGGCTTTCTCTGACCACTGCAGGACCTGTGACAGTGTGGTTTTCTACTACACGTGATATTTATAAAAGACCCTGTGCTCACATCCAAGGGCAGTCTTGTCCATTGTTGGGGTTTGCTCCAGTGCCCAAGCAGTAGAGGAGAGAAATGGCATGTAACCAAGTCTCCTCTACCTCTACAGGAAGTAGTTACTAATTTATTTTGTTTCCTTATCTCTTGTTTCTGCCTTCTAACTGGAAAGGAAGAAATTTAGTTTTATAAATATAATGGTACATGTTATATAATAAGAAAAATAAGAGAAAGAGAAAAAAAGAAGAGTAGATAGAATAAGGGTATGGGAAACGGAAGGAAGGAAGGAAGGAAGGAAGGAAGGAAGGAAGGAAGGAAAGATTTCTATAAAACCACTAAGAAGTTCATCTCAGTTGCATTTCCTAGTAAACTGTTCCTAAATTTAAGCAGGTGTATATGAATGAGCAAATAGAAAACCTAATGGTTTTGAGTGTTAATGATCCTTTGTGGCTACTGTCAAGACTTTTTCTTGTAAAGAAGTGAAAAAAATGTTTACATGTATTAGAGCATTAAAAAGAGGTAAGCCTATTACTATGAATTTACTGAATCCTTCTGGGTGAGATTATAGGGAAAATAATACATGCATGAATACTCACTATTATAATTATTTTTTCAGTAATTCAGACAGGAACATTAAAAATATGTAGGGCTTGCCCTGGCCGGTTTGGCTCAGCGGTTAGAGCGTCGGCCTGCGGTCCTGAGAGACCCGGGTTCGGTTCCCGCTAAGGGCATGTACCTCGGTTGCAGTTTGTCCCCGGCTCTGGTCAGTGGTGCGGGTGGCAGCCACTCGATGTGTCCCTTTCACATCGATGTTTCTCTCTCTCTCTGTTCCTCTCTCTCCCTCCCACTCTACCTGAACAACAAAAAAAAAAAAATGGAAAAAAAAATATGTAGGGCTTATTTTAAAAGCAATATATAAACAAGGTAGTGTCCCTTAAATGTATTTTTTATTTCATTTTCTACATTTCAAAAATATTTTTTCTGAATTATTGGCTTAGTTTTGTAGTTTTATAATTTGAATGTTTTAAATTTTGGTATGACATACATAAGTTTACCATTTTAACCATATTTAAGAGTACAATTCAGTGACATGAGTACCTTCAACAATGTTGTGCAGTTTTTAGTTTTGAATTTTAAAATTTAAACCTAGTTTCTACTAGATTAAAAAATTAAGTACAAGTATACATAATGTTCCCATGATTATATTTTTATAGTTTATTATTCATAGCTCGTGTGTGTTAATACATCAAGGTAACCACATGAAAGGGGACTAAAACTCACCCTTCTTGCTTATTATGATTGTGATAATAAGTTTAATTATAAATAACTCTAGAAGCTCAGTGAATCACTGAATTAGCCCACAGGGAATTTCTTCGGCACAAATGTTTTTATTATATAGGGAAATTTTTCTTCCAGTGTTTTGTTCCCCCTAGACCTTCATCTTCCTTACAAACTAACTGTATTACATGCATGAGCATAGGAAGAAAATAGCAGAGCTGGGCAGTTTCTAAACAAGATTATTATTATTTGACATTGCAATAATTGGTGACAAACTAAAACATCGCCAAAGTGTGAGATATTTAGATTTCAAGCAATTCAAACTTGCTTTAGAGCTGCAGTATTTGTATAATTTAAGGTTATCTGGAAATTCATTTAAGAGGTCACCTGTTTTCTTTCTTTTTTTTTTTTTTTTGAGGTCACCTGTTTTCGCTTAAAATTGGATTAACCAGCTCAAGAGCTACAATTTAGAAATAGCATTGGACTGCAGTCACGTGTCACTTATTCTTTGATCCTGAACAAGACCTGTCAAAACACCGGAAAGATCAGTTTTCTTACTTACAAGTAAGTAAATTAATTAGAAAAGATTTGACTCTATTTCTCCCACATCTTTCTTTAAAATACTGAAGTGACCGGGATTTATAATATATTGAGTCCAATTTCGCAGAAACTCACTTCGGCTTCCCTTCTAAAATCCTTTGCCTGAAAGCCCCTGACAATCACTCAGGGCCTCTAAGAAGTCAAACCATTTCACCTTCCATGGTTCTGGATTCCCGACGCTCAGGTACGGAGGAAACGTCAGAGCCGAGGGGCGGGGCGAAGAGGGTCTGGCCCGGAGGATGGAACGGAACTAGGAACACGTCATTTCCGTCTGGTTGTCACCGAGGTCAGAAGCCTAGCCCCGCCCAGTGGTGATCGACAGGTGAAGGGAATGGTCTCCCCTCCCTCTCAGCCCATAACCACTCGCCTTTTGGGGGTGTGGTTTCATCCTTCTCTGTCCGGAACCCCGAAGGCCAGGTGCCGTTGAGGTACACGCTCTGTCCAGCCTTTCAAGGACGTTGGTTTCTCTGTAGCCCGCACCGGGCCTGCAGCTGCTGGTTCAGTGGGGCCCGCCCGCTTCCTGTGGGCGCCTCTGCGAGCGGCGGCGCCTGCCGGGTAGGAGCTCCCGCCCCTGCGCGCTCGCCGCTGCGCGCTCGCACCTCGGCCGAGGGGCAAGTGTGCGGTAACCTACGTCGCATTTTTTCTGGACTTTTTTTCTGTTCGATCCATAACACGGTTTTCCGTTTTCCCATTTAGCTTTTTAGAGATGGGAAAGGCGTTTTTAAGGAGTAGGTTAGTAGTTGTTTTACTTCATCTGCCGTTGGTATAAAGATCACAGGAAAAAAGGAAAAGCGAAGCTACAAAACCGGTAAAGATCACAAAACTTTTCTCTATTAAATAAAACAGTAGGAGAGACGAAATGGGAAGTATAGGTTGTGATCCCAGTATATCCGTTTTAATACTATTTTCCAGCTTTTAAAATAAACGGAACAGAGAATCTAGAGATGTATCTCGCAGGCTATTTCTCATGAACCTTGAATAGATCAGCGGAGCCAGTAACTTCTGTTATAGAAGTTATTGATTTGGGATAAAAATCTTTTATCTTAGAATCTGCAAGTGAACCCTATTATTACCTGAACAGTGGTTTGGCAGTCCTTTTTTGTATCTTAGAAGTTATTAAGTGTTCTCACATTGGTGAATTTATTTGGAGCCTCGTAATAACCATGTGACTTCGGTATTGTTTTTATCTCGGGCCATCAACTGCCTTTATGCCCTTTTTCATCCCTGGACCTGTTCTCTTAAACCTCCTCAAAAGACTTTTACCCTTCGATGTATCCATCTCTTTTTCACATTTGATTTCTCCCTCACTACTGGATGATACCCAACAACATCTTAATATGCATTAATATTACCCATATTCAAAAAAGAATCCCTTGAACCCAGTCCCACCATCTAGCAACTACCCCATATCTCTGCACCCTTGTAGCCCTCCAAAGAATTGTTACCATTCTCAACTTTCTCAATTTGCCCACTTCCTCAATACATCCCAGGCTTTCTTCCTTGCTACTCCACGGAAACAATACTTAGGAGGGTTAGCAGCAACTTTATCAGGACAAATCTCATTTGCCGTCAATTTACTCGACCCTCCAGTAGCATTTGACACAATTGACCATGTTCTCTTTCTTGAAATGTGTGTAAATAATTATTCCTCTGTAATGTGAGTGACTCATTTCTGAATCAGATCATTTTGAATACTGGAAAATATTTCATCAATATTTTGTGTTATTCATAATGTAATGGTGACAAGTTAGTGTGCATTAACATTTTTACCACTACTTTCTTCAACCTAGACAACCAACAAAACAATAAATCAAGCCCTGATTTGAGGTATTTGTTGATTCCTGTGATGTAAATATTCTGACCCTGGCCAATTTTAAGCTAGGATCATGGATGGCCTCAGTAATTGGGAAGAGATGTGCAGCAGTGGACTGTAATAGTGTTTCCACCATGCAGATACCTGCAGATAATAGGCAGAGATTAAGCAGTCCTCAACTGTGGGTGATTTTGCTCCCCAGAAGACATTTGGCATTGTTTAGAGATATTTTTGGTTGGTTGTCACATCTGTGCTACTGGCATCTGGTGGATACAGACCAGAGATTCTGCTGAACTTCCTATCATGCATAAGACAACAAAGAATACAGCTCAGACTATCAAATAGTGCCACTGTTGAGAAACCTTGAAATAAACATAACCTCAAGAAAGACAAGTAGAAGTGAAATATAGTAATGGGTAGGAAAAACTTTTCCTCTTCTCTCTTAGATTCTGTGATTAGAGCCTGCAAATTAAACTGACAAAAGACAGATTAATAAGAGAAAAGGTATAAAAATTTTATTTGATGTTAATATTTTAATTTTACATGCACACAGAAAAGGAAGTATAAACTCAAAGAAGCTATTAGTGTTGTATACCATTTTAACAAATGGAGATAAGTTTGTGAAGAACAAGACATAGGAAGAGAGGTTTGGGAGTAAACCAGTAGAAGATAAGGGTTATTTAAGTAAGGTTTGTTTGTGCAGACCCACCTTAGTGCCAGTCATAATGGTATTTTCTTTGTCCTGGTATGGGAAAGGAAAGGGGGAACACCTTCACAAAGGGAAATTACCTCCTTCTTTTAGGCAACTAAAACACAGAGTAGAGCTTTTCCTACATCCGTTTCTCAGTTGTCTTCAACTCAAAATAATCCTTATGCCAAAATAGCATATTTTGGGGTAGAATATTCTGATTCCCTTTAATAGCAAAAATAATTAGTAAGTGATGAGCTTTTAGTATTTATTACCTTTATTTTATTTAATTGTAAGTTTAGTTTTCAATAATGACTATGTTCAAAAACTCAGAAAATTCTTGGAAATTTAAAATTTGGTTCTGTTTTCAGTACAAGCGGGCTCCAGTCCACCAACAAACTATGCCAGCCAATTTCCCATATAATTATAGCCTGGTTTCTACCTACTTTTTTGACCTTATCTTCCCACTCCTCTGCCTCTTCTCTAAGCTCCTATTACAGTTTTTTTTTCTTTCAACCATTTGCACACACCAGGTTCCTCATCTAAAGGCATTTTTATCTTCTGTTCTCTGTGGCTGGAACCCTCTTATACCACTTGCTTTCATTGCCTGTTTGCATCATGAAAAGTAATGTCTCCTCATTAGAGAGGGTTTCCCTCACTACTTGTGCTGAAATACTCCTGGCATTCTTTATCCCACTACCCTGATTTATCTTCTTCATTGCACATGCACTTCTTTTGGTTTTTACCTTCATATTTTAAAAAACGTTGGTAGATTCCAGTTTCTACTTACTCTTGATTTCTTTTAGATTTAGCTTTTTCTGGTAAGTTCCTACAATATAAAATGAGAATTTAGCTTTCACACCAAACCACCACAGCACAAGTATATACGTACACACTCTTCCTCTACCCTCATTTTCCTAATTTAAGAAAATAATCTTGCCATAACACTAGGTTTCAAAAATTTAACTTCATACAGTGTACAGTTGAGTTATTCCAAAATAATAAATATCCAGGGTAAGCCTCCTTTGGAGACAAGAGCCAGTCATCAATCATGTTATTACAAATTTATATTATCATAGGTGGTATCATAGGGTGTATAATTATGGTGTATTGCTGTCCTTGTATCACATTTTTGGTATTGCATAATTATTCATGGTAATAGCTTAACTTTTTTTTTATTTTGCCCCCTTCAGAGTGATACTTAAACACAAGTCAGCTGTGGGGGAGAGATAAACCACAGAACTTATATGCATGTATGCATGAACAATGGACATGGACAACAAATCTGGGGACAGAGTGGGGAGAGAGGGGACAATCAGTGGGGGAAAAAGAAACATCTGTAACAAAAATAAACATAAATTAAAAAACAAAAACATAAGTCAGATATTACTCCTCTGGTCTAACCCTCCAATAGCTTCCCATCACACTTGAAATAAAATTCTAACTTTTTGCAATGGAAGGCACTATGTAATCTGTTATCCCACTACCTCTCTGCTTTTATCTGTTACCACTCTTCTGTCTAGTAGTCTATATAGTCACATTGACCTTCTTCCTGTTCCAACTTCCTATTTCATTGCCTTCACACTTGCTGTTCTGTCTGCCTAGAAAGCTCTTTGAATATGTAAATGTCTCAGTCCATTCAGGTTTCTTAAACAGTAATTCATTAAGTAATATAATATGTAGAATTTTTAGCCTCCTTTGTCACTTATTGTAGTATTCCCCCAATAAATATTTATTTTAAATGCTTTTAAATTGCTGCAATTAATGAAATGTTAAACTCTGACTCTGATCCCCAACACCCGTAATACTAAGCCCAGTCCAAACAAAGAGACTGAAACAACAATAAGAACAAGGTCCTTAAGCAAGATTAAGATCCTTCCAAGTGGTGTCAGATATATCTATACACATACAGAGGTATTGGTATTGGTGTACAGATTCCAGTTTCTAGAAGGTTAAGCAGATGCTATTGACATTACAGGAAACCCGCTGAATGTAACTCCTGGCCCTAATCCCAAGATTATACTTTAGAGCAATTTTCAGTGGTGAAGAAACTTTTTCAAATGTATTTCCAATGTGTTGCAGACCTTTTGTAATATAAAATAAAAATGAATTAGTAGATTTCTGGCCGGTGTGGCTCAGTTGGTTGAGCATTGTCCATTGCACCAAAAGGTTGCTGGTTTGATTCCTAGTCCAGGGCACATGCCCTGGTTTGGGGCTCAATTCCCAGTAGGGGGCATGCAGGAGGCAGCTGGTGGATGTTTCTCACACTGATGTTTCTCTCTTTCCTCCCTTCCTCTCTCTCTAAAATATATATATATATATATATATATATATAGAAACGGATTACTAGAGAAAGAAAAAAAAATAAAGGTATACAAACTATAAGCCCACTGATCACATGTTTGTGCACCACAGACTTTTACTGTCAAATTGCTATAAAAGTTTAACTGCTCTCAGTTTCGTTTTCTCTTCGGGAAACATGCTGTTCAGAGACTGGCATAGGTCTGTGGACCACACTCAAAGTAGCACAATTTGAGAGGTCCACCTACAAGCGATTCACCCCAACCATTTATGCCTTATCCCTCCCGACTTAACTATTTAGGTAAGGCCTTCAATTAATTGTTCTCTTGCTAGTGACAAACTAATTTTTTGAAATTATTATTCAAGTAGTACATGTTTATTAGAGAAGTAAAATAATAACATTTAAAACTCAATTCTATCACCATTGTTAACATTGATCATATTTATACTTGCATAGTTATGCACATGCACATATTTGAATAGGGGACGGAGAAGCTAACACAAATAGCTTACTATAGATAGCTCTTTAAAAATTGTACATTATGATATGAAACGTTTTCCCTGTCAATGTGTACATTTACTGCATCACTTAATATTCTCACAGAATTCAGTTATATGAATACAGCATTTATTTAACGAATCTCCTGTTCAGACAGCCAGCAAATACTATTTATTGATCACTTACTCTTTACTATAAATTGGGGGTTTAGCAATAAGCAAGAAAAAAGTCTGCCTTAAGGGAACTCACATTGTAGGTGGATGATATAGATAGTATTCATGTTCAACAGATACACATAAAAAAGATACTGATTTGTCCACATCTAATAATCTTTTGCTTTCATCATATGAGAAGCTGGAAGGAGGTGTGTACAAGAAGCCTGAGTGAAATTATTTTAGTCAGTGCCCAACAAAACTGATTCAGACATGTTTACACAATTAAAAGGGATTTTAAAAACTCAGTTTTAAAATTACCTACAAAATTGAGGCTGTATTTGGGCAAATTATG